ATACTGGTTTCCCTAGTGCCTAAAAAGATGCCAGGCCTGTTTCCTAGGGTAGACCCTTCAGTCAGAGTAGCACAGTTGATGCATTAGTGCATAAGGAAACTTCCACTGGACTGGCCCTCACAGAGGCTCCTCGCAAAGCTGCCAGCATCAAGCAAGAAAAAGGGAAATGCCCATATCAACCAATGATTTGTGGAAAGCATGATGCATCTGCCCACCCTCTACAGAGCCTCCTGAATTCTCTTTGTGCACCCTGGAAAGCCAGCCTGCGGGTTCCAGGTCAGATCCCTGATTCCAGCCAAAGTCTTCTTTAGTCTCTTAAACTGTAGCAACCCGTTAGGTTTCACTGACTTGCTCTTTTTGCAAGAACAGATCAAACCCTTCAAAACCCTTTCTTCGGTTTGGGCTTGTCCGAGGTTCCCTGAGCAGATTCAGGTGCAGTATTTGTTTCTCTTCTGGCTAGATCCAACCCAGGGTCTCCCCCTAAGTGCTCTACTGAGACACCCCACCTGCATCAGGTATGGTTTTAGATTTTCCATTTATTGCTTTTGAGACATTCTCAGCATATAGCTGAGGCCGGCCCTGAGCTCACGCTGTATCCTACTTGGGCCTGAAGCACAGCCTCCCTGTTGGGATTACAGGCAGGTGCCACCAGGCCTGCTCCAGGTCAGCTCTCCCAACACTTGAAACCGGTGCTGCAGCTCAACCATGTCTGTCTGTCCCGTTACTAAGGGCATTCACTCTCATCTTTGGGCCAGGGGGTGCCCCAACATTCTTGCCTCTAAGGTTACTGATCCCCACTTTTTAGTGTTGTTTTGGTTTTTCAAAACGGTTTCTCTGTGTATGGTCTCAGACTCAGAGATTCTGCCTGTCTCTCCAGAGTGCTGGGATTAAAGATATGTGCCACCAACACCCAGCTGTGATCCCCATTTTTAATGATCAAGTGATCAGGGAAAGGTGTACTGTCAGCCTGTTCTCCATTGTCTTTTCATTCTCTAGTTTTACATCTCCGGATTGTTTGGAAGTCTTTGCTCAGACTGTTTATTTCTTTTTTTTTTTTTTTCAGACTGTTTATTTCTAACCATGCCTGACCTTGAGGGCTTTATGTTTTGATCTTTAACATGGTTGAGGATATTTCTTTTATTTATATATACCAACTTACTATTTGTGGACCTAAGGAACTGCTGGTCTGTGCTTACTGTTGGCCTCTTCTTGGGCCTCTCTAAGGCTGAAGTTTGCTCTGCCTGCCCGCACTTTCCCAGGACCACAAGAAATGGAGGACTGCCAAAGGCTTTGAATACCATTTTGAGTCCACTGAGCACTCATTCCCACTGCCAGATGCCGCCTCTCTCCAGCTTCAGGCAAAATCTTTGCTGCTCTAAACACTCATGGCCCTTTAAGCTGAAAAGGCCAGGTTGAAACTGCTCTGACCTTGCCACTATAAATCAGGTGACTGCTCTTGAGAAGGAGGAGTTCTGGCCACTTTTTCACCTGCCTTCCCTCAGGACAGAAATCAGGAGTGTTAGTAATGTCCAGTTATAGCTCTAGCCTCATCTAGAGCAATCAGTGGAAGAAAGAACTCGATCTCCAAGGAACACTACCCTTGAGCATGTGGTTTCTGAATCCTAGGAGAGAGGCAAATCCCTGCCTGGGCCTCGGCGTACAGCACAGTTGGAGAACACCTGCCAAGCATAAACAAGGCCTGCGTTCTGTTTCCAGTACTGAAGGGGAAAGGGCTGGCACATGGCAAGATTTCAGAGTTCCTAGCCCCAAGAATTTCCTAGAAACCACTTGCCACAAAGCTTAGAATTTCTGTCTCAAATGATAACCTTCTGGAAATAGAAACTGTTACCAAGTTCTCACTCTGCTATCTCTTCTGCTGCTTACATTCAGCATAAATTAATTTGAAAGAGACAGGCAGTACATCACATAGATAATCAGACTGTGATAAAGAAAAGAGAACTTGATAAAGAAAAACACACTCAAGGGAGAAAGTGGGCAATGCTTGGATTGACATTGCAAGAGGCTTTACACTGGTTCTTAAAGTGTGCGGGGCATAGGAGAGGTCCACCATCCGATATCCATCCTGTGGGTGGATATAGATCTAGCTACATAAACAAAACACAACAAAAAACCAACCAAACAAAAAAACCACTGTGCATGTACATAATTGTTCTTTATCATTTTGAGACCAGGGTCTTGCTATGTTAGCCAGGCTACTTAGCAAGACACCCCAACACCCAAAAGTTTTCTGATTAATTTCACCTCCTGACCTTCTACCCTAGCCCTTAAAATACAAACAAAAAAAATTTTTTAATTAAGAAATTATACAGTGACACAAAACACTGTAAAGGTCAGAGGACAGTCTGGGTGTCCATCTTTGCCTTCTGCCTTGTTTGAAACAACGTCTCTTCTACACTGTTTGCCACCACGTACATCAGGGGAGCTGGCCCACAGTATCATCCTGTCCCTGCCCCCTTCTAACCACAGAAGCCCTGGAATTACAGATGCAGGCACTGAGCCAGGCTTGAGCAGTTGTGCAAATTCGAACTCATGCTTTAAGTGTTTTGACCCACTGATCCTTCTCCCCAACCCTGAACTAAAAAAAAAAAAAAAAAAAAAAAAAAAAGAACATGACAACCTGAGAATTGCTGGGAGGCAGAGGTCCCATGTAGATTCCAGGAATGATGAACATCCTCTGGGAAGAACGTTTGGGAACTCTGGGGCGTCAAGGTGCTTGGTCCGGAGTGTGACCCTGGGAGATGGCAGACCTTTCAGAGGTGGTTACACCAGTCCACACACCTGAATTCGGAGCTCCTTGCTGCTGCACACTTACAGGTGCCAAGGAACGGAGACGGGTGAATCTTGGGGCTGGAGAGGTGGCTCGGTGGTAAACAGCACATCCTGTTCTTGCAGAGGACCCGGTTCAATTCCCAGTACCCACATGGCAGCTCACAACCATCTGTAACTCCAGTTCCAGGGGTTCAGACACCCTCTTCTGACCTCTGGGGGCACTGCACGTGCACACACACACACACACGAAATATTCATATACATAAAATAAAGTGTAAAGAGAAAAGGAGGGAGTCTTTACGCTACCCTCCATTCAGAGAGGCTCAGTCTGAGAAGGCAGGGAATTACCATTCTCCAAGTCTGTCTTCCCCTCATCTTTAGCAGGTTGATTACATGGGAAGGGGAAACAAGGGCAATCAATCGTTCCCAAGTGCAGTCTATTCTCACTCAAGTGGCTGGCCTTCAATCTGAGAGTCTACTCTTCCCTCACTCTGTGTGTGGGATACAGGGGTTTTCACCTACACAAAGGCCATAATGTCTTGCATTCATCCTGAGACATCAAGATTGACGGTTAAGGGGCTGGAGAGATGGCTCAGTGGTTAAGAGCACTGACTGCTCTTCTAGTGGACCTAGGTTCAATTCCCAGCACCTACATGGCAGCTCACAACTGTCTGTAACTCCAAGATCTGACAGCCTCACACAGACATACATGCAGGCAAAAACGAATATATATAAAATAAATAATTTAAAAAACATTGAGGGTTAACTCAGAAAAAAACAGTAGCTGGGTATATGTGCATTTTCCTTCCAAAGATGTAGAGATATGCTCTTACCATATAGAATATGGATATAAAGAACCCATAGCTGTCATCTACTTCCTATGAGGTCATGACTGGTTCCTATCTATTCCTCAGCTTCCCATATGGCCAGCTTTTCTTCTCTCTTTTCCTCTCCCCAATCTCTTCCTGCCCATGCTCCTATCACTGAATTCCTACTCGCCATGAAGATATCACCAAAGCCAAGCTGATGCCAGCACCATACTTGACCCTCAAAACTGGGAATTAAATAAACCTTTTCTTTAATTTCATTATAATCTCATGTACCATGTATTTCACAATAGTGTTTGATAACTGACAAATAGAAGGATTCTATAATAATCAATTATGAGGGTTTTTCCTCGATTGATCTGTAGGACTGTCCATTTAAATGTTAGCTGGCTGTAACCAAATGCTTGTTCCTTTGTGAACAAGCTTCGATGGAAACAGCGTGTTACATGCTTAGAGGGTAAAACAAAAAGAAGAGAAACATGTTCTCAAACCCGAATGAGACTGACAATGCCATAGAAGCAGAAACGTAGAAATGATGTCTTGGAGACACACTGCTATGTGAGCTCCCGAGATGCTGAGGTGGCGGAGGGCAGCCTACTGAAGAGGATGGGGCAGCAGAAAGGGTTGGGAGATCCAACCCCATAGGGTGGATAATTTGGAACTACCCAGATGGCAAAGATGTGGAGCTCCATTGAGCCTCATTTTGCAGCCTGCAGGTCCTTTCCTTGGTTAAGCTAAACTGTGCCTTCCTGGCAGAACTGCTCTGTGGGTCCTTACTCATTGTAAACAAGAGATCCATCTTCCAGAAGTAACTGTTCTTTTCTGAGCTTTTTAGCATCTGCCACATTAATGGGAGAGATTAGCCACAGGTGGCAGGCTAGGAGAGCCACCTACAGCACAACTGGATTGTCCCAATGGAACAGTGAAACGCAAGGGCTACTCAATGATCTAAGTTGGGAAAATATTTCTGAAATTAAAAAAGGGCTTCACTTTACTTTGGAAAAAAATACATCACATACTGGTGAGACAGCTCAGCTCATAAAAGTGCCTGCCAGGAAAGCTTGCTGGCCTGAGCTTCGTCCTCAGGCCCCACAGCGGAAGGAGAGACCTGCCTCTGAAAGTCGCCCTCCAGACTGCTGGGCCTCAGTCTCTGCTTCTCAGGTAGTATCTGCAGTGACCTAGCACTTGTGACACATACCACAGCAAAAAGCAAGGACCGCCATCCAAAGGAAACAGAGAGAAATGAAACTGAGGAGAACTGGAGGCCTCAAAAGGAAGCCTTTTGGGAGAGGACTTGAGTAAGTAGGAGGGACAAGGAGACGACGGGTCACCCCGCCAGATGCTCACTCACAAGAGGGCGCACAGAAAGAGAGGACAAGATCAGACGGCCACTGTTTTTACTTCAAAATAAGGCATCACCGGGGCCAGATACCTGACATCTGCCAGACAGCAGACAAGAAAATCTGCTGTGCTCTCAGCTCGCCTGGCAGATACAGGCTTCAGCATATAAGGGGCTGCAGAATCCCCGTGTTCTGAGCTGTGGTAGAGCTGGGTGTAAAACAGTCCTTGCTGACAAAATCCTTGATGATTTGCAAAGGCAGGGGCTAGGGCTTGCTAGCACACTGGCCCAGCTCCCCAGCCTTGAAGGGAGTCTCAGGGACTCCTTTAGTGTGGGGTTATAGACAGAGAACATCTTGGCAGCCAGTACACGGCTCCCAGTACAGGCGGCTGGTAGGGCTGAAAGGAAGGGAGTCAAGGACTAGCATGGTGGTCACCGGCAGAGTCTAAGAGGTCACACTGTTCAGGTTCAGGATGGTCTGCGAGTCCAGTGTCCTGAGAACAGGCATAGACAGCCTCCCTCTGCTTTCTACCCAGGACCTTCCTGCCGGCTTGCCCAATCCATTTGCCCTGACTGTGGCCGCACAGAGTGGAGAGCAGGCTAGGCAGGAGGCAGGTGCCACACTTCCCCTTGCAGTATGCAATCTTTAGCTTCCCTCTTTGTCCTTTCAAGAGGCCTCATTCTGGTGAGGGGGTCAGCGGGGCCAAGCAGCACTGAATTCCTTCTCCAGATCCTGGACAAACTGATCATTGAGGAAAAGCAGCTGCCCGTGGGGCAGGAAGCGAGTAAGGATTCCCTCAATGCGGTCAGCCCGCAACAAGAAGTTGGTACCTGGTGTCAGCAGCCGGAGATGGTCAAGAAGGAGGCGGGCCAAGAGCCTGAGTGTGCTCTCAGCCAGCAGCAGGTTCTCATGGGTATCCAGCACCAGGGCAAAGCCCAAGGAGAGCACCCCCAACCATACTACTGTCTGTGGTTCGTGGAAAGGATCCCCAGCTACCAGGTGGAAGGCTCCATGAGGGGCCTCATGCAGGGACACGGGCTCATCCGAGAGCTGAGGCTGCAGGCCTGCGGAGGAACAGCCGGATGCTTGCTGCTGCAGCCTGCATAGCGACTCCACCTGTCTGGAGAGAAGTCAGGTCAGTGTGGCAGCTGAGAGGCCTGATAGGACCACCAAGGCACCACACACACACACACACACACACACACACACACACACACACAGGCACTTCTGTCAACGTCACAACTTCCAGTATGGCTGGGAGCTGCTAATACCTCAGATCTTGGGTAATGAACTTGGGCTTAGAAAGCTTAAGTGATCTGCCCAGGGACATAGAGCCAGGGAAATATGATTTGACATACAAATCCAGGCTCCAGCCTGCATTATCTGAACTACTTTATTCTAAATGGTCAAGAGAAGAGGGCGTATGAACACAGCTCCTCTGGCTGGGAAAAGGACTAGGGGTTAAGGTCTTGCCCCATAGAACCCTCCTCAAAAGGCAAGTAAGCAATGAGAAATGCAAGGTTACCCAACAGGGCCCATCTGACCTCTCAACCACTCATCCTTCTCCAAGCCACAGCGCCTGCCGTGCAACTGTTAAGGCTGCCTCTGTTGCTTCCTGAATAACCTTCTAGACTGGGCCAGTCGCAGACTGGCTTTAAAGCCATGTTTAGCCAGGTATCATGATGTATGTCTATAATCCTAGTATTGGGAGGCTAAAGCAGGTTATGGCCAGCCTGAAATACACAGAGAGGTGGAGGCCAGCCTGAGCTAGATAATTAGGCTGTCTCAAAACAAAATAAAAGAAGCAATTAACTCTAAAAGGCTGTTGTTTGGTTTTCTGTGTTGTAAGAGGGGAATAAAGTTGAGAATAAGGTGGTGGCTGGAGCTGGCAGAGAGCTGCACGCTTCATGTGGGTCTGAGATGGGAAGGTCCAGGTCCAGCCCGTCTTTTTTTTTTTTTTTTTTTTTTCTTTTTTAATAATTTATTTTATTTTATATGCATCAGTGTAAAGGTGTCAGATCCCTTGGAACTAGAGTTACAGACAGTTGTGAGCTGTCATGTGGGTGCTGTGTGGGTGCCTGGGTCCTTTGGAAGAGCAGGCAGGACTCTTAACTACTGAGCCATCTCTCCAGCACCCTAGCCACCTGTCTTATATAGTGTTTTCCAAAGCTGCTCTGCATCTCCGGCATTTTCCCTCTTAGGAAGATCTCCTGCCTGCCTATACTCTAATCTCAATTATGCCACTTTTTAGTCACAGAACATTAGGCAGGCTAAGTTCCTTAAACACTCCGTATTTTAGTTTTCTCTTCTGTAAAGTGAAGATGATAACCATGGCCACCTCAGAAGACTGTGAAGGTTAAATAATATACATAAAACTCCCAGAACATATGTGCAGTGCAGCCATTACTAACCACCACGAAAACAGCATTCTTTCTTTAACTCTTTCTCGTAGTGATTCTTATAAACAATGGTGGGAGGCTGATTTTTAGTCTTCCTGCTTCACTGTCTTACTCCAGTGTCCGTTGTCAGCTCTATGTTTGATGAAGCTTGGGGCTGGGCTGTGTGATTACCTGGCCACAGCCAAAATCTGCTCCTTGCGGAAGAGCCTGTCCCTTGCTGCACCATGTGGCCGTGGATCTTGGGGTGACTTCTCAGCACCAAAGACACAGGAGTAAAGCACTCTGCAAAGGCCCGAATCATCTTCCGAATTCGGGGCCCTTAAGGTGTGGATGAGGAAGGCGTGGACCATGGCTCCAGGGTGGGGCTCCAGAGAAGCCAGACCTACAAGATGAAAGTGAAAGCCCTACTAAGGAGGCACCCTCAAGGTGTGGCCTGGGAGTGTGACTGGAGATCTGTGATCACACTGATCACTGTCTAGATCCGCCTAGCCCCCGGATAAAGTAATGCCTGCATCACAGAACAAGGCTCTTGGCTGGAGATATCTCACACATCGCCAAACCTACTTCTTCAAAACTGTTGGGGAATCTCCAAAAGCATCAAGGTCATGAGAGTGCAGGAAAAACTGAGAACTGAAGGGGATCAGAGGCCACAGCTGAATGCAACGCCTGCTCCTGAAACAAAAATAACCCAGTCTCCACACTGTGCACCATTAAGACAACTTGAAGTATGGAGTGAGAGATGGGAAACTTGATCAGTGCCACTTGGTTTCGAATGCCACTAAAGTGCCTTTGTTTAAAACACACACACAAGAAAATACCTCTAAATGTATCTGCAACTGACTATGACCAGTTGGGAGAGAAGGTATCGACGGGGTGGGCCAAACCTTATTCAAAGGGATCGATCCAGTTAACTGAAATTATTTCAAAAATAAAGACATGGGCGCACGTACCTGAAATCCTAGCCCTGGGGAGGTGGAGGCCAAGAGGATCAGGAATTCAAGTCAGCCACAGATACATGGGGAGTGCCTGGCCGCTCTGGGAAACATGAGACATTGGCGGCTCTGGGGTCGCAAGGCTGAGGGGATACAGTGGTTAGGCACGGCTAAGGCTAAACATACCAAGAATTCAAAGTTACCCAACAGGAAAGTTTGCAAGCCCGCTTCAGGAAGGGAACCAGATTTGCAGGCCTTGACCTCTGGTCACCCTTCCGCCGCCAGCCGAGTGCGTCATCACCCATGGCCACCATATCCCCCTCCCCTGTCAGCCCCACTTCCGTCACTGCCTCCGCGTGTAGCGCGGCGCACTGGACTCTGGGGGTTGTAGTGCGGGCGCTGCCCTGGGCCTGTGGTCCAAGCGTGGCGCTTGACTTCCCGAGGATGCACAGGCTTCTGACCAGCCGGTCCCCTCGGCTGCAGGAGCGCACTGGGAGGTTCGGGGTTCCCGCGAGCGTCTTTGGAGGTGGTGGAGAGTTCTTGACTAGCGGCGGCCCGGCCACTGCAACGGCGGCCGCCAGAGGGCGCTGAGGCCGCCGGCGACCTTCACGGAACTTTCCACGGAGGCCTCCGCCCCCGCTAACCCCCAAGCTATGCTGTGTGCAGTACTAATGACCGAATTACAGGAACAGAGGCCTGACTGTTGAAACGAACATTCATGACTTTATCCCTGGATGTGATAACTTTGGAAGGAGATACCAATGTGTAGGCAGTTGTGAAGATTCTGAATTGTCGGTTCCTTCAGTGGGTTAAGGCTGGTCCTGGATTTGACATAGAGTCCCTTCTTTGTCGTACTGTGTATCCCTGGCATGTCCATCAGCTTTGTTGGGCCCTAGTGAAACCCCCCAGAGTGACAGCTGGAGCAAATGTTTAAGGCTATTTTTTCCCCTTTTGTAGCCGCTGCTTGACTCCTTGCAGGGAGGCCACCAAAAGTACTTATAACTGAAGAGACCTGAAACTAAAGTTTGAACCAGGTGTGGTGCCAGGCACCAGCATTGGGGTGAAGATCCAGTCTGGAAACATGGCCCAAGAGGTGTTTGGGGCAAGAATGCACACACATTTCTCTACCTCCTGCAAGGCTTCCTTAAGTATGCCCTAGTGTTCTGTGCTTCAAAACCTGCACCATGGCAGTTACTTGAATACTGTCTGATGACAAAAAAAAAAAAAAAAAAAAAAAAGGAAAGGAAAAGAAAAGAAAAGAAAAGAAAAGCAAAAAGAAAGAGCAGAGTGGTCCAGGCAGGGGTTCTGAAGAAAGGCTCTTATGAGGGATTGCATCCTGTATCCTTTAGGCCATAAGAAGGGGAGCAGTTTGCAGGAAGGGTAAGGTGGCACACATGCTGTGCGTGTTTTGATCTCAGGTGCAACATAAAGATTCGGATGAAAGGATCAATCCAGAGGATTTGTGGGGTGCCAATCAGAGAGCCAGGGAATGATGTTGGCTTCATTCCTAGCAATAGTTCCTGGTCCCCAGGCCCTATCTCTCTGGGCCAGGCCTCATGTCTGCCAGCAGATTGTAGCAAAGAATTGGCAGAGAGGTCTGTGGCTGCGGGGGGCCGCTTGGCATTGGGAACATGATATCCTGGCCTCTGTTCACTACTCAGGTGGTCTACATCAAGTCCAAAACCACTGGACACTGACCTTGTGTGAGGAAGCATGCACTGAGCCGTCGCCCTGAGAGTGGAGGACCCACACAGAAGGCTTGGTGAGTGCTGGGGCAGGCGGCGCTGGAGGTCTCACCGGTGGTTTTGCTTACTGTGGTGGGTGTGCTGTGGACCATCCTTTCCTGTGGCCCCTGGCCTCTTCTAGCCTATGCTTCAGAGAGTAGCCTGGGCCCCCTGGAAACATTCACCCATGCTGACTCAGACCTGGTCAAAAGCAGCCATCCCAACAGTGTCTACTTCAAAGCCACACGCTTTGCCATCTAGCACACCCAGTAAAATATTCTTTTTATTTATTTTTATTTTTTGAGATCTGATTGCCAGTGCCTTGAATTCTGGTATTAAAACAAACTAAGAAACAGGTAGTGCATACTTTCAATCCCATCACTGGGGAGGCAGAGGCAGGTAGATCTTTGTGAGTTTGAGGCCAGTTAAAGATACATAGTGAGATCTTTCTCAAAAAAAAAAAAAAAAAAAAGCTGGGCCTTGGTGGTGCACACCTTTAATTCCAGCATTTAGGAGGCAGAGGCAGGCTGATCTCTATGAGTTCAAGGCCAGCCTTATCTACAGAGAGAGTTCCAGGATGGCCAAGGCTACACAGAGAAACCCTGCCTCAAAAAAAAAAAAACAAAAACAAATAAATGTAATAATAATAAATAATTAGCTAAGAATGTAATAGAATCCTTTCCCTGCATTAGAAATCCTTTCCCACATAGAAAAGGCTTGAGGTAGGCATGGTTCAGATTTATAATATGAAAAAAAAACCTGGGCATAGTCTCCCCTTTGGCAGATGACTAAGTCACACATCACAGTGCTGAATGGAAAATATTTGAATCGTGATCTCTGCTTTCCCTGGCAGCCAGCCTGGAGGGAACAAGATGGTGAAGGAAGAACATGATCTGAAAGGGAAGACACAGCCTGATATGGTGCTGTCACAAGAATGCTTTCCCTGGGAGACACAGATAAACGACTGCTTCTGTGTAGAGCAAGATGGCAAAACAGAGTAAGATTCCACCAGCGCCCGACTAGGGGGAAGGAGGCAGTCTGCCAGCCTGTGCAGTAGGTGAGCACAGGAGGAGGGCTGGCTAGTCTCCTGGGCTAGGCGGTCTCTGTAAGTGAGCGGACTCAGGGTGTACACATAGAGTTGCTAGTCTTTGTACACACTCATCAATCGTTCATAAACATTGACTCCTCAAGGAATATTTGCCATCCTTCTTGTAGCTGGCCCCTGTGGGCGATGGCTTTGCTAATTTCCCATGAGTCAATTGGCCTTGAAGTCCTTGACAGGCCAGGACCTTGTCAAAATCCACATTCACTGAGAGTTTCACCTGCTCAAGGCTCCCTCCACTCCCCACAGGAGTGCCAACAGTCAACAAGCCTGGTCTTGTGAGTCTCTTGCAGAGTCCTAGCTGTTCTTTAGAAAATGATGGCTCTTATACTTGGAGAAGAACATTCTACAAGTGTGAATGCTTGTAACTGCAGCGCTTGGGAGGTGAAGGCAAGAAGATCATGAGTTCAAGGCCAGCCTCAGCCAGGTAATGAATTTGAGGTCAGCCTGAGCTACACAAGATGTCTAAAAATGGGAGTCAGGATCAAGAGGAAAGCACTCTATCCATTCTTAAGCTGAGCACAGACCTCTCGGTCCTTCTAGCCAGTTCTGTGTAGACAAGTGCAGTAGCCACAGCAGGTGGGAGTTAAGAAAGGGGAGCCACAGATTCACAAATTCGTAGAATCCAAGCATTGACCCTGCAGGATCAGTCTGTGTAGGCTTCATGGAGGAGGTAATATCTTCAGACTAAGTTGTAGCAAATGCAAACTGTGAGAAGAAGCAAGTCTTGAATTCAGACTATACTAACTTTCTTGTCTGATGTCAAGGTCCAGAGTCCCATGAAAAATTCCTCCCTGGCACTTGGGCACTGAAGGCACCACCCAAGCTAGGGTTCAAAACAGCTGTAATTTCACACCAATGTGGTGCACAGACACTCATGAAGGCGAAACACTCATAGGAATAAAAACATTTTTAAGCTGAAATTTTGTGCAGGTGGTGCGACCTAGGGTGTCCTTCTCTGACATTTTGCAGCCCTCAGCCATCTAAGTCCCCTGAGGCACAAAGACCTATCTGCAGAGTGATGGAAAGCATTATGGGGCCTGGAAGCGCTGCCATCACGTGATAATCACAAATGCACGTGTGCTGAGAAGCCACCTCATGGGTTCCCACTCAGGGGTCCCAAAGTGCTCCTAGCTGGTGCAGCCTAGGAAGTGGGCGGAGGGGAGCCTAGCACCTCGGAGGGACTCAGTGATCCAAAGGCAGATTTGTCAACTCTGGAAGCCCAGAGACTAGGGGTGGTATTGGGTGCCACAGGCCAGCCATGCTGGCTTAGAGGGCCTTCCCTGAGGATGGAGCAGGAGCATCTGAGGGTGCTGGTCATTCAGTGTGTTGACTATCGGTTGTGTGAGGCTTTATATTAGCCCAGCACTTGAGGCAGAGCCGGGTACACAATAAAGTACGGTGTAGAGTTCCCTGTGGGTGTAACAGGCAGGGGAGGTGAGAATGAGCAGAATGTGATAAATTACTATCACAAACCCAGAGGAGCTTGAAAGGGACGACAGCTGGATCCATGACCCAGCCTATTAGCCTAGATGGGGCTGAGAGCCACACCTCAGGCGTTTTCTTCCCTCTTGGATTGTAGAGGGCTCCATCACCCCACCCCAGCCTTGCTCTCCTCGGTGGTCCTTAGGGCTGATGTAGTCCTGTGAGTCCCCCACACTGACCCCTTCTTCCCACTGCCACCTCTGGCCTCACTCTCTAGTAGTGGGCAGCTTGGGCTTCCTGTCTGCACTCTCTTGGAGCCTGCTGCTAAGATGTCCTTGAAGCAGCTACTGCTGACTTGGATGGGGAAGTGGAGCCCCTTCTTCAGCTGCTCCGGCTGCAGGTAGACTCGCTGGTGGGCAGCCAGGCTTGCTAAGCCGTGCTGCTTCTCCCAGACCTCTACACCAATCTCCAGGTTCAGCCTACACAACCACAGTGGGCACTCCCTTCCTGAGATATTTTTGACAGCTGGACACTCTCATTGATGGTCTTTAAAGAAGCTTTGGAGAGACCTCAGGCTATCGCTGCTGGCATCTGGATGTAGGGAGGGCTATTCAGTCAAATCTGCCAGCCTCAGGCAGAGGATTTTTCTTTACTGGCTTCCTGATAAGGGCTCACAGACACTAAGAGATGGATGGGTGGATTTTTTTTTTTTTTTTTTTTTTTTTGTGGGCTGAATTTGGGCTGATTATAGTTGCCCTAAGAAATGGAGGTAACCTCAGCCACTGTTTGTGCATTACTGAGCTCCATCACCCTGTGCCACCTGCTAGTGCGTGTCCTTGTGCTGGAAGCCTCCCCTGGGCCACAGAGGCTGCTTTTATCCATACTCTTTCTCCCCCAAACCCTCCTTCTGTGTGCTGCCCAGACTGGAGTGGAATAGCCACCACTTGTACACCAAAGCTGGACTTTTCCCTGATACCATCAACCAGGAGCTTGTCCAGGTGAACAAAGGAGAGGAAACACGTAGGTTGGCCCCTTTGGTTAAATGTCTTTAGTGAGCTTTCTCTCCATCCTCAAGGACTTTCTTAACTCCATTTTATACATGAGGAAATAGAGATGAATTAATTATCCTGATGTTGTATGTGTCACTGGATGTGCATGCCAGGAGACTGCAGCTTGGCTCTTTACCTCCTGGGGCTTCTCCTCCCCATCCCCCATGAGCTGGCATAGACCCCCTCTCCTTGGACCCCTGGGAACCTTAACACCTTCACTAGTCCCACCACTGCCCACCCAGCCAGCCATGGGAACTACCTTCCCCCAACTCCCACCGCCCCCGGAATTGGGTGTTTTCTTCCCCAGCACTCCCAGTCCTACTTCAGGAGCCTCCCCCAAGCCTTCCCTTCAGGGAAGTGGTCACGGCACAGGCCCATGATGTGTGTGATTTGTCCTTTCAAACAGCCTTGCTTCCTGTAGGGCTGCAAGCCAGGAGGCTCCACGAGGCCGGCTAAGCTCGGCCACGTGAGCTCCCTTCCCCGCTCGGTGCCCCAGACCTGCTGCCTCCAAGCTGGAGCCTCCCCCACACCCCACCCCTGGGTGTGCTCGTCAGTGTGGGCTCAGGGCGGGGCTCCCTGGCATTCACACAAACTCCTGTGTGGAGAAGGGAGGCACGCTTCTTACTCTGCGCAGGTAGCGTAGACTTTCACACCATATCAGGTTCCCTTGCCCCGACAGCAGCCCCTTCTCCGTCATTACTCAGCTGCCTTCTGATTGTTTCCAGATTTCATGTGCCTGTGGGCTTCCCTGTCCAAACCTCTTTCAGGACTCAGGTTTTAATTTTTGGTTGGTTGGTTTTGGGCGGAGGGATTGGATTCTCTCTCTTTCCCTTTCCCCACCCCCTTTTTGAGACATGGTCTGTCTTGCTATGTAGCTATGGACTGCTTGAAACTCACTTTTGTAGAACAGAGTCCCTTCAACTTGCAGCTACCCTCCTGCCTCTGGCTGCCAAGGACTGGGATTCTAGGTTTGCCAGCAGATAGTTACCAACAGCTTCATTGCCTGTAAAAAGTGGGTTGTCCATGTATTGAATCCCAGGGATGAAGCACTCTAAGAAATGCTTTCCAGATACACGTGAGCTGTTGTCAGCAGAAGAGGTCAACCTAGAGTTAAGAAAGAACTGATCCAAGGCGTCTCAGGTGCCACAAGGACCTTGTGTGGGGACAAGAACAACTTAGGTTACCATGACCTCACCTCGCAGCATGGAAAAGTCAGAAACCCTGGGTCTGTATTGTTTAAACAGCTATCTCCACCACCATGTAGTCTGTGGCTCAGCTCTGACAGCTACCTGCCCTCTTTGCTGTACAGGAATACCATTCCAGTTCAGGCAACAATTAGAATTTGTCCAAACCTTTCTGTCGTTTTGTTTTGTTTTTTAGGGGGTGTGTGTATACATAGTCCCATGTACTATTCAGGGGTGCACATGTGGGTGCCGGGGTGCGGACCAGAGGGATGTCCAATGCTCTACTGCATTTCACCTTACTTTCTGAAGAGGGCCACTCACTGGACCAGGAGTAGATTCTTGGGCCTGGGAACATGAACTTAGTTTGATCCTGCCAGCAAATGGAGAAGCTGTCATTGAGATGTCTGGATTCAGACAACTGTTTCCATAGAAGTTGTTCCTAAAATGTCTGGACTCAGACAACTGTTTCCTTACAACAGAAGCTGTTCAGCTACTGGAAAGTCCCCAGCTCCCCTAGTGTCTATGACCTTGACCTTAGTTTCTCCCTATGATTAAATAAAGTCTGAAAATGAAATGGTAGTACTTATATAATTTTTTTTTCCAAGACAGAGTTTGTCTGTATAGCCTTGGCTGTCCTGGATCCACTTTTGTAGACCAGGGTGGCCTCAAATTCACAGAGATCTGCCTGCCTCTGCCTCCAAGTGCTGGGATTACAGCCACCACACCTGGCTCATACTTAGAATTTTTGCTTGTTCCCAACACTGTCTTAAAAAAAGTTATTGGCTTTGCACAATGACCCATATCTGTAATCCCAGCACTCTGGGAGGCAGAGGCAGGTAGATCTCTGTGAGTTCAAGGCCAGCCTGGTCCACAAAAGTGAATCTAGGACAGCCAAGGCTACACACACACACACACACACACACACACACACACACACACACACACAAATCTTGAACCGCCCCCCTCCAAAAAAAAGTTACTGAGACAGTCAGAGAGTATTGAGTTTATGAAGTCCTCGAAGCAGATAAAGGTGCTCCCTGTTGCCTGCCACTAGACAGTACTTGTGCTTCCGCCCTACTCTGAAGCATTGGCGGCACAGGGATAGCTGCTCTCAGGCTCCCCACAAGCTGGAATTCCAGACTGCCCTCACCCAAAACCACCGGGACTGGCTGATCCTAGGAGTTTAAATGCCTCGCCTCCTGCCCCATGTTTTCACTTTAGGAGGAACACAACAGCTTCCCTGGAGAGGGAAAGACAAGCACCTCTGCCCCCTTCTCAGCTTCCCCAGGCAACGTGTATCCTGGGCACAGCTTCCCCAGGCAGGTTTAAATAACCCTTCACCTATATTCCCATAAGCAACCCCAATAAAATTCACTGGTTCACCAAGTTGGACTTTGATTTTGTCTGTCATGGGCTTGCTGTCTGGGATGAGCAGACCAGGTGCGCTGGCTAGTTTTATGTCAACTTGACACAAGCTAGAGTCATCTGAAAGGATGGAACCACAATTGAGAAAATCTCTAAGATCCAGCTGTAGGGCATTTTCTTAATTAGTGACTGATGGGGAAGGCCCAGCCCGGTGTGTGGTGGCACTCCTGAGCAAGCCAGGAGGAATAAGCCAGTCGAAGCACCCATACCTGGCCTCTACATTAGCTCCTGCCTCCAGGTTCCTGTCCCGCTTCCCTTTGATAAACAGCCCTGTGGAAAGTGTTCACCAGATAAACCCTATGCTCTTCAAGTTTCTTTGGTCATGGTGTTTCATTGCAGTAAGAAACAGGACAAGTGTGTTTTATCTCCCCAGGAAAAGTTTTGTCACATAACACAGGGACATCACCAGATTGCATTATAAGTGCCCTCCTCTCCAGGGACAAGGACAGATGGTAGCAGAAGCAAGGCAGCCTGCCCCAGATGCTACCCTGTCTGCTCTCGGATCAAGGTGAAGTGTGAATGTGTCCTGGGTAGGGATGTCTCTGCTCTGTTTGCTGTGTCCCCAGGGCAAGGGAATGCCATCTCTGAGCATCCAGTTGCTCCCCTGTGACTCCAGACCACCTGGGCTGAGTAGCATAGTGTTTCTTGTAGGTATGCAGTTGTGTGCCTTCTTTTGAGGTGTGTTCCTTACCCAGATAGATGCTGTTTAGTGGGGAATCTCTCATGACACTCCCTCCACCCAGAAGACCCAGTGCCTAGACTGTCAAAGCCACATCCCATTATAGCCCACTTTTGGTACCCTGCAGGGCATTCTGGACCAAGGGTAACCGCAAAATGGGGCAGATAACCATTGCTCTACCCACTTCGGAACAAACCTCATAGAAAATGAGACTCATACCTGATGTGTGTGCATTGTGGATTACTACTTCCCCAGCCTCCTCCAGACCACGAGGCACCAACCCCAAGGCCTCAGGCATGCCAAGTGGTGCTCTACCACTGAGCTATGCCCTAGCCTGTACGCACTCTCAGTCAAAAGAGCCTAGGAAAACACAGCTCATATTGAAGGGCCAATTGCACTGTTATTCAGTAAAGGATTTCTAGCACAGGGCATGCTGGCACACACCTTTAATTCCAGCTCTCAGGAGGCAGAGGCAAAAGGTGGGCCGATCTTTATGCTTTTGAGGCCAGCCCGGTCTAAGTAAGTTCTGGGCTAGCAAGACATAATAAGACCCAGTCTTGTAATTTTTCTTTTCTTTTCTTTCTTTCTTTCTTTTTTTTTTTTTTTCCCCTTGGGAGGCTTGGCTGTTTTCTACTCCTCCGAGGGGAAGAAGCTGAGGAAGTCCTAAATCCAATGGACTATGGCAGGAATCCTTGAAGTTTAGCCTGGGGATAGTGTGAACAGCTGTCAATTCCTTGAGGTGTGATGGGATCAGTCTTGCCACTTAGAGCAGGCTTGAAGAGGGGTAAGCCTCAGGAGAGCTTGGGTAGGAGAGAGGAGAGAGGAGAGGGAGAGAGAGAGAGAGAGGAAGCCAAAGCCCTCGCAGGAGTGTCATGCATGAGAAGCACTGGCTAGGAGCGGTGGTGCAGACTTACAAGGAGGTCGAGACAGGGCAGCCACAAGTTTGATGCCTGTCTGAGCTACATAGTGAGAGGACCCCTCTCCTCTACTTCACAAAACCAGACAGCGTGAGAGAAACTCCAGAAGAGAACATGAGGTACAAGGTCCCTTCTACAGAAAGCCTTCCCTCCTTTGCTGCTCTGTCCTTTCCCCCATTCTACCATCGGGTCTGCTTTGGTCTTCGCATAATAAACAGATTATTCATCTTGCTCAGTGCTTTATTAAACCAAGGCCTTGCCAGAGGATTCACTGGAGCCTTCCAGCATGACCTTCTCCTATGTAGATTCTGAAGCCAGAGGTTGCTTGGTTTTGTTTTGTTTATATTTAGCTGCTTTCCATGATGTTTCTTGACTATTTCCAAATTCTAAGTGTAAAGGCTTTTTTCACACACACACACACACACACACACACACACACACACTCCTGCCATAGGCCATCATGCTCACCGAAATACTACCACTCAGTTAGTGTGCATCCGTGTATGCAAGGCACTGTGCACCCATGTCCATCCAGCCTCCTGTCCATCTGTAACAGGCCAAAGTACTCGCATAGCCACACAGCAAAAACCACACATACTCAACAGGCTGTCTGGACCAGACATGGGAAAAAGGAAAGGGAGGACAGGGGTGGAGAAGAGAAGGATTAAGAAATGAAGCTCAGTGACTTGTCCATTGCCCAGAAGCAGCTTCTGACCAGTGAGGCTCTGGGGTTCACAGCAGTGGGACTGGGGCTCCTGGAAGCTCCAGAATCAGGCCTTTGTTCTTGCCCTGGGGACCTTAGAGGAGAAGAAAAAGCCAGGCCTAACGAGGACGTGATATTTGAATCTCTAACCACCAGCTGTACAAGGGAGCCTACTCAGCTGTCAGTGTGTCCTGAAATACACTAAGTCAGACAAACAGAAGTAAAAAGCTGCAGGTAAGACTACAGCAGGAAAAAGTAAGTGCTTATGTTTTCAATGGAGGTGTCTGTACAAAGGCGGCAGAGGAAAGCCAACAGGTCCAGGCCACCCGAATTGCTACTATGCTCATCCTAAAGGGCTGAGGCTCTCCCCATAAAGGGGGCCTACTGAACACAGGAAGACAAAGAGTTAACACAAATATGGAAAAAAAGACTGTAAAACAGAGTTCCCACAGAACATGAAGCACTTTCAGTACCCACCCATCAGGCTGGGCTCTTCAAGAAGGGACTGAAGTGAGACAGGGGAATCGAGGACAGGGACAGACAGACACGACACCACACCTTTCTCCTAACTCCCAATAGCACCTGAGGCCTCTAGCAGAGAGGTGGCCTCTTAGGCCCATGGGACCCACTGGCTCCCAAGCCCCACGAGGTAAGGATGGCAGCAGGACTGAGGCCGGCTCATCACTGGTCTTGCAGCCTGCTGCAGAGTTCCCTCCGGCTCCGCTCCCCAGCCCAGCTGCGTGTCTTGAGGCGGAAGGTCCTCAGCTCATCCCTGAAAGCCTCATGGTTCATGGGCCGGTAGTCCTGGGGCTCACAAAAGTTCTAAAGGAGGATGAGAAGATGCGAAGAGTCCATCAGTGTGGGGGAAAGAGTAAGTTGTGTGGGGTGGGACCGAGGGGCTGGGGGGGTGGGTCTGTTACAGCCTGGTTGGGCCCTGTCTACGGTCCGAGTCAGGAAAGCTGCGACCACCCCACGCACGGTACCGGATGCTGTGGGAAGAACTCCTTGTAGCCGCCTTTGAGGATATACATCTCGGGGTAGTAGAGGTTGGGGTAGTCGTTAGCAGCGCGGTCCCGTTCCCTGATGAATCGGCACCTGGAGCAGCGTGGGAGGGAGGGGCTCAGGCCAGACCACTGGTAGGAAAGAGTCCCATGTCCTGTACACACTGCTTTGAGGGCCTCTGAAAGCACAGGCTTCGGGGCACAGGAAAAATGGTCTACTAGGCAGAAGGCACTGGAGTGAAGACAAAGGGAAATCAGGAGTGGCCACTGTTTCTGGAAGGCTGTTGCATAACTTAGAGCGCTCTATGACATGGACCAAAAAAGAGGAAGCAAGAAAAGTGACAAGTGGACACAATCAAGTTTGACACAGAACGTGGCCCGATGGCACAAGCCTGTAATCCTAGCGACATAGGATTCCGAAGCAGAGGGGTTCAAGACCTGTCTGTGCTACAAAAAGAGCCTAAGGCCAGCCTGGACTCCAGTAAGACCCTGTCTCAAAATAAAAGGTAGGGCTAGGAGGTGGCTCAGTGGGTAAGAACACCCATTGAATAAACATGAGGACATGAGTTCAAATCCCCAGCACAACAGACAGCCTGTAACCCAAGCACTGGGGGTGTGGGTGTGGGGTAAAAACAGGAGGATGGAGTGGAAGCCCAATTCAGTGAGAAACTTATCTCGAGAAATATGGTGGAAGTATTCCACAGGACATATAACATCCGCTCTGGCCTCTCTGCATACATGTACTTATACGCACACATGTATGTACCACATGCATGTATACCACACACAAAGGCACTCGTAGACACATACAAATATATGTACACATATACAAAAGTGTGTGTATGTGTATACACATATTATGCATTGTTTCAAAGAAGGGCCACGGGCTGAAGAGAAGGCTTAGTGGCTAAGAACACTTGTTGCTTTTGCAAAGAATATAGGTTCAGTTTCCAGCACCCACACAGTAGCTCACAACCATTTATAACTCCAGTCCCAGGGGATCAAGACCCTCTTCTGATATCTGCAGGCACCAAGCATGCATCTGTAGACACACACGCTTGCAGGCAAAATACTTTCATATAAAGTTAAGTATCTAAATCTGATTACAAATTAAGAAAATAAAAACAAACTTAAAAAAAAAAGTTTTCCAAGACAGGGTCTCTCTCTCTCTCTCCCTCTCTCTCTGTGTAGCCCTGGCTGTCCTGGAACTCCCTCTTGTACACCGGGCTGGCTTTGAACTCAGAGATCTTCCTGCCTCTGGCTCCCAAGTCCTGGGATTAAAGGCGTGCACCACCTCTGCCTGGGTAAAAATAAGCTTCTTTAAAGGGGAGTCAGGGCAGTGAGATGGTTCAGTGGGTAAAGGCAACCCCTGGCAACCTGGACTCAATTCCTGACACTCGTGTAAACGTGGTAGAAGAGAACTGATTTCATAAAGTCACCCTCTGGCCTCCACCTGTACGCCGTGCTTATGTGCCTCATACATCACACACACAATAGTTAAAAATAAATAAGCTGGGGGTGGTGGCGCACACCTTTCCTCCCAGCACCCGGGGAGGCGGAGGCAGGTCAATCAGTGAGTTTGAGGCCAGCCTGGTCTACAAAGCGAGTCCGGGATAACCAAGGCTACACACAGAAACCCTGTCTCAAAAAGTCAAAAAACAAAAACAAAGACAAAAGCAAAGCACTAAATAAATAAATAAGAGAAGACTGTGGATAGCCCACACTGGTAGAGTGCTTACCTAATATATGTGATGGCCTGGATCAGTCCCTACTACAGCGACATAGAAAAACCACAGATAAAAAGGAAGGATCAAAAAGTGAAGCTCCATGACTGGTCCACTGTCCAGCAGGGAAAGGGGAGGGCGGCAGGGGAGGGGCCCCTGTACAGGGAATGGGAAAGGCAGATTCCAGACCTCTGAGAAGCTAACAGCTGCCAGATGGAACTGATGGCCACCCTGGACCGGGAGGCAGAGGAATAACCAGAAATGCTCATGAGTGGAGAGACAGAGAGGCTGGTGAGGGAAGGCTAAGGACCCAGTGGCAGTCAGCATGGGAACAGGATGCTTAAGTGTCACTGAGAATGTGGCTTGGAACAGGGTCCTCAGATTTTAAGGACACTGTTAGACTTGGCACCAAGTGGGAGGTGCAGCAATGGATGAAAGATGGTCTGATGAAGCGGGTGAAAAAAAGGCAATGGGAAGGCAAGCTGGAGTAAGATCGGCTTTAAACTATCAGGTGTAGCAAGAGGCTCTAGCACCCAGCAACAGGTAAAGGCAGCTGAGGGCGGGCACTAGCTGACCAGTAGGACAGAGCTAGGACTCACATGCGTGGGCCACGCTCAGACGAGAATTCACAGTGGAAAATGAGGATGATTCTCTTGTCCAGGCTACAAGGCATGATGGGACGCTGCAGCAGGAAGGTCTCTGCGTCCCGTTCCAGGGGCAAGTTCACAGCATTCTGTCAGAGGATCTGGGATTCAAGCTGCAGCCTGTACCTCATCCCTTCTCTTTCATTTCCCAGGCAGGCAACCCCACATCTTGCTAGGCGGAACCCTCCCCAAGAGAAATACACCATAGAAGGTGTATTTCCTCCTGGCAAGGAATCCGAATGGAGGATCTGGCCTTACCAGCACCTGCCTCACCTTGATATGGCCGCCTTCATACTCATAGGGGTATCGGCAGTCCACAATTACAAATTTCTCCACGATGCTGCTGAACTTGCCTGTCAACAGGGCCACCATCTGCAGGAGGCCACCAGAGTTGGTGCCAGTAGGCTGGTAGCCAAGGTTTTCCCTCACTCTGCTGATTCTCCCATCATGCAGCCCAACCAGGGGGGAGGGGTCCCCAGTGCTCCTGGAGAGTGAGTGGCTCAAGCCCGCTTACAGTTCCTGGTGAGATATACTTGAGGTCCTGGTGTTTGCCATCCACAGTCTGCAGGAGGAAAGCCTGAGGGGAAGGAAGAGACAGGGAAGGAAGTGAGACAAGAAGGCTGGAAAGGACAGTGGCAACACTTGCTTTGACCTTCAGATTCAGCTCTGAATGGGACCTGGGGTGGGGCCACACCCAGGAAGCAGCCTTCTGAGGGTGAAAACAGAAAGAAGCAGCCCTGGACCTTCTCGATTCCTGCTCTTGGGTTTGAAAGCAGAGGGGTGAGGCAGGAGACTACATACCAGAGATTCATTTGGAAATGTTTTTCAAAGCTGAGATATGGCAGATGCCTGGACAGATTGGAGGTGGCATCAGGGAGAAGGGGAGCCAGAGGGAAGAGTCTGGATGAGAACAAGAATAAAAAGATACAAGAGAGAAAAGGGGGGTTCTGGAGACAGAGAGCTCCTGTACTAGGGGTCCAGCAGATAACAGAAGCCTCCTGAGGTCCCAGGATGCTACCTTAGAGTAATCTCCGATCAATCCACGTTGGTCACTGTCTAGGATGCTCTCAATCTCATGACACAGGGACTTTGAGCGGAAGACACGGGCCTTCTGGGAGGCAAGGCAGATGGAGACCAGGGTCAGGGCTGAGACCGCCTCTCCATACCATTTGGTCGAGACCCTCTTTCCCTGACATACAAACAACTACCTGTACACTAGCCCCTGCTACACACTTGGCCAAGAGAGTACACCCCAAACCATCTTCAGCCCAAGCACATCCCCAGATGAACCATGACAGCCCAGGCCCGGGAGGGAGGAACTAACAGGTTCTTCAGGCTGCTGCTGTTCTTCCAGGGGTGTCACGCTCTTTCTGCGCTTGCTCTGGACAGGCGCTTCCCTGTCCTGGGGACGCTCTATCCTCTTGAGGATGGGCCGGATCACACTGCACGGCATAGATGGAGAGCGGAAGAGCCGCTGGCACTTGCTGAACATGATGAGATCCTAGTGAGGGAAACATGGCAGGAGTCTGTGTGCCTAGTCCCTCAACCCTACACCCCTAAGCTCCAAGGGGGCACTTCTGGGGTTTACCTGTTCCTCTTCCTTATCCAGCTTTTTGACCAGTGGGGCACTAATGAGGTTCTCCATGCCTGGGGGGACCACATCATCTTCCTGAGGTCAAATCAGCAAGGATACCATCACAAAAAAAAATAAGCATGGAATAAACCTCATAGTCTCCCTTTGCCTGCTCTCCCAGAAATCCTGGGCTGTACCCAGTCCTGATGACTCTTCCATCTATGGCAACTCCCTCCCCCCAAAACCTAAAGAGCAGCAGGGACCCACCTGCTCCTGGCTTGCCCTGAGCCAGAAGTACCTTCATCACTCCCAGCCTCCATTCCTCTGTAGCACCAGCCCACCTGGTCTTCTCTGATTGGCCAATATCAGGCTGATACACAGTTCCCTCAAGTTCTTCTGACATTGGGGTGGCTTGTAGTCTTGCTGGAGTCAGAGCTCTCCTTTTCTGGACTATCCAAGTGGGGTGCATGGAGGGGCCTTGCAGACCAAGGCTGCTTACCTTTAAATCACTCTCCAGGATGTCCACAAACCCGTCATCTTCTTCAGAAGCCCTTTCAACAGGAGTCATGGAAGAGGAAGACTCCTCTACTTCCATCTTCCTTTCAGGGGTAAGACACTGTCCAAATGACAAAAGCACAGAACACTCAGGCAGGGACCTGCCACTCCTTCTGAGGATAAGTCTACAGTACTGGGTGGCTGGTGGGGGAGGGGTCTAGGCCACCCTTTCTTCTCCTATTTTCTCTTTTTAATTTTTTTTTTTTTTTTTTTTTTTAGCTTTTATTCCTTTATTCCTTTTTAATTTTTTAACCGTTATTTTATGGTATTTTGCCTGCACAGATGTCTGCATACTGTGTGCAAACAGCGCCCACTGAGGCCAGAGGAGGCATCCGGTCCTCTGGGGCTGCAATTTGGGGCTGGGAGTCGGACTGGGTCCTCCAGAAGAATAACCAGTGCTTTTAACCACTGAGCCCTCTCTCCAGCCACCACCTCTCTCCAGAGCTGTCTCAGAGGGCCCTGGAAGGGTCGGGTCTTCTCATGTACCATCAGGTCAGGGGCTGAGCTTGGCCTCTGGGTAAAGGCCTCTCTGCGGCTAGCCCACTCTGCCAGAGCTTTCAAAGGGCTGGGATGAGTAGGCTTCCATGGTACCCTGAAGAGATATCTATCCTGTGGGCAAAGTTGGAGAGGAAACATCAGGATAAACCCAGTGTACCATTCTCTCCCTAGAGCTCTTCCACACTGGTCTCCGGAAACGCACATTCTCCTTGTCCTCCCCAGGGCTGTCAGCAGCTCTGTAGCCAGCTTCATTTTCCTTCCGGCTGTCCAGTGCTTGGGAGTTGCTAATGTTCTGTAGCACAGGGCTGTGTTCCAGCAGCCTCACCTAGGGAACCAGACAGGGCAGTAACTACCAAAGGCTGCATTCCTGTTACTACACAGGCCCTACCTTCTGCTACCCTGCTCCAAACAACCCAGGCCACTCAGCCAACAGATAAAACCCCATCTCCCCCAACCAGTCCAGGAATGCCTGGCTACTTCAAGTATAATCTCTGGAAGGTGTTCCCAGGATTTCCATGCCAGCCAGGATGCCTAAGCTCCCTGTCAGGCCTCCGAGGACACTCACTGGCAAGGATCGGAAGCGCTTTATGGTAAACTGCTCACTGCAAAAGAAAGGAGGACAGTTCAGAGCTGGGAAGATAGAGGTCAGTGATCCACAGTGGGCAGGATTTCCTTGCACCCGAGTCATCTAGATTGCATGAGTAGGTGAGTAGGGAAGGGTGGAAGGCACTTACTTTTGAATGACCCGACTGGCTGCCTGAATGGCCTGCTCGAACCTAGGAGGGAGAAGTGACCCATTTTTCCTGTAGCCCAACATCTACCTTCAGCCCCAGCCCCAGCCAGGCCCGTCCCCAAAGGACCAGCAATAAGGCCAAGGACAAGGGCCTGTGGTCAGATTAGGGGAAGGGGAGAATAGAGAAAAGGCCCACTATTGGTGGGACTGGGTACCAGGGATGAAGGATTTGAGGCAGCTGGGATTTTTAAAGGCTGCCTTGAATGGCAGTGGTGGAGACAGCTGGGGAAGGTCACAGGGTCATTAAGACATCACCAAGGCAACAGTCTTGCCAGCCTGCACCAGGCTAGCACAGGCCTTCCACCTGTATGCAAATCACATTAGTGGAGACATATGGCCACCGTGAAAGGCACTGATCCACCCCGTGACAACAGGCTGAAGGCACCCTGTAATGAGGGCGACCCTGGGATGGATGCTTGGAAGGCTGGATTTCCCTTTCTGCTAAGAGAAACTGGCCTGGCTGTCTCCAGGATAGGGGCCTGCTTTAGTGTTTTTCTGGATCAGCCCAGCAGGATCCCCTATCAACAAGCATAGCTGCTTCCAGCCTCTCCTCCCTCCTGTGGAATTTCTAAGACCCAGTCTCTTGTTCCAGCCCCTCCTTCTGTCTTAGAAGAGGCCAGCCGGCAAGGAATTCCAACAGATGTTCCATTTGAGGCTGAAGCATCGGCTTCTGCTTACAAGCCTTGCCTTCCACCTTTGCGGCTGGAGCACCTGTCATGTGGAGCTTAAACACACACACACACACACACACACACACACACACACACACACACACCAGCTTCTTTCTGAGAAATTGTAAATAGTCAAAAGGAATGCACAGTAGAGGGAAGTGCAACTTGCAATTAGTACCCAAGTGGCCCTCAGAGAGAGACCTGTGTGCAATCAACCTGGTATCATTCATAGCTGCGCCTTGGCGGGGAGGGATCTGTGTTGTCACTAAAAAACAACCTACACTCCTCCCATCCCCACCCAATTCTCGGTTTCCTGTTTGTGAATAAACCCCTGGGCCCCGCACAGTCTGATCAAAGGCATCAGGAGGAAACAGTAACGGCCATCCTATTCAGCAATGCTCAGCTGTCCCTCCTAATGACTGACAGCTACTGCAGCAGCTGGATGGAAGCAGGTGTCCTCTGGAAGGCACAGTCTCTGCCCACAGCCAAGGGAGAGGTGTCTGCTCAGAGCAGAGACCAGCTTTCTCTCTCCACTCTCTATTGGAAAGGGTCTGGTCAATGGTGTAAAGCCAGGGGCCAAAGTGAGACAAGTCAGTCAAGCCAGTCTGTAGACACCGTTTTTGTTCGGCCTAGGTTCTGAGATAAGGTCTTACTGCACTGCCCAAGTTGGCCTTGAACTCCCTATCTTCCCATTTTAGCTTCCAGAGTGTTGGGATTACAGATATGGGCTACCACACCCAGCAGGACCATAGTTATAAGTTGGAAAAACATTTCAAATGTACAGAAATGTATACAGGCAAAAAAAGAAAAATGGGAACATCAGGGACATTGTTTTTCTGAATGCCAACACTAGCTGAAGCCAAATATTGGAGTATTCTTTCCCAGAAGCCAGTGTCCTGATGTCCTCTGGTCCCAAGCCCACTCTCACCTGCTTCTCTGACAGCAGGGCCCTTCTCTGAACAGGGAGCCAGTTCTCCAGGCTTGGGAAGGTTACATCAACCCCTCACAATGGGGTTAAGGGAGCTGCCTATTTTTTTTTGTTCTCTTTAAGAAAGCAAGATTCTGGGGGCTGGAGAGATGGCTCAGTGACTAAGAACACGTTACTCTTTCAAGGACCCCAGTTCAGTACCCAGAGCACACATATGGCAACTCAGAACAGCCTAGAGCTCCAGCTCTACGGATTCCAAAGCCCTCACTGACCTCCACAGGCCTACATGTTCATATGCACATATCCTCACATAGAGAAACACATAACACATATTTAAAAATAAATCTTAAAGACTGATCCCCAAGGGCAGGTGTCAACTCCTCAGTGTGGGAATTCTCCTTCTTGACTCACGAGTGCTCTGCCGTCTGTGGGTCCACAGGGCTGGGGGAGTCCATGCAGAGACCTGGTGGGACAGAGTGCTTTGGTTTGCAAGTTGCAGCCTTCCCTGCTTACTTTCCCCCAGGAAAAAGAAAACCTCTTTCTATTTGAGATCAAGATATATTTTAGTGAAAACTTACTTATGGACCCTGAGCATGGGACATTGCCATCCCCCTCCCCATAAGACACAGGGCTACATTAGCTATTTACTGTGGAAACGTCTCTATACAGTTTTTAAAAAGCAGAATGCTTCTTAAGCATTTTTCTTAAGCTAGTTTAAAACAGCTTGGGAAGCTTTTCTAAGGAGAAAAGCTACAGATTAAGAGAACATTTCACAAGCATGATTTTTGGTACTAAATGTCTTCTGGGTGGAGCTGTTGTTTAGTGGCTTTATCACTAGGTTTCGGATAGGTAAGATACCATCTCCTACCAAGAGCCACAATCCTCAAGCTCCCCAGTTTAGGTTGGGTGTGGCAAGACCCACCAGATAGTATGTTTTTTTCTCATGTTTGAGGGCAAGGTGGGAAGATTCTGGGCCCATTGGGCTATGGAAAGGGTGGTGATCTGACGTGCAGGGAAGTTAGGAGGCCCAGGCAGTCTCCTGCTCTCTTTTGATGGGGTGTGGCACTAGGGTCCCTGGGTATTACCTGCATCAGAAGAGTCTGAGGACTCAGACGACAGCGAGGATTCAGAGGTGTGCCTGGACAGGGACAGGCCTGCCAGCCTGTTCTGGAACCTCAGGCTTCCTTTTTGAGTCTTTGGGGTCTCGCTGGGAAGGGAGAAGGGGCACGGAGGAGGAGGAGGAGGAGGAGGAGGAGGAGGAGGAGGAGGAGG